GCTGCGCCCGCCAAGTGCTAGGGGCTGGCCTGGCCCCAGGCATGTGGCGCATACATGGTGCCAGAGCTGGCCCTGGGTGCATGGCTCACAGTGAACACCAGCCCCGGGAGCGCCGCAAATTGGCCGCCCGCGCTCTGGGCGCGCGGCGCTTGGGGGGGGGAGCGCCAGCCCCGGGTGCACAAGTGTCCCCGCCCTCTGGTGCCCGGCAGGCAAACGGCCACACCCCCTGGCGCCCGGCAACCTCCACAGGTTGGGGACCACTGCTTTAGGTCAACAAAGTTAAGTTGACACAGTGTCCATGTAGATACTGATAGAAATGTAGCCGTGTTAGTCTGGTGTAGCTGTATTTTGTTTCATGTAGATACTGTGTTACCCCATCTGCTGCTGGCTTCAACAGCTGTCAGCTCTGAAGTGGCTGGGCTCCTGCTGTCAGTGCTCCCAAATGCCCCACTTAAGTTGAGGCAAGAGCTCCTGGTGAGGATGCGCACTGCTGACAGAAGCAACATACTGTGGACACAAATGGTTGATTTAATTACTGTGAAGGCTGTAGGGCAATCTAACTTAAAGTCAACTTCGTTTTGTAATGTAGACATGCCCTGAGAGTCTGTTCATTGACTTCCATGGAAGCAGAACCAGGCCACCTTTGAAAAGATATAAGTAATTCCCTGGGATCATGTGCTGATGTACAGCTTACTGAACCATACATAAAGCCAGACTGTACAATCACCTCAAGAGAAGGATTATGACAAGCTGCTTTAAAATACCAGTGCCCTGGAATCCTTTTGTCACCTATGGGAAGGGAATGAAATTGTGTGTCTTAGACATGTAAACACACAAAATGGGTCCTGCTTTACTTAATCCCCTATCCTCTCCTCTAGGTCTCTTATGAGGATGTGGATCGCTTGAAAGAGTTTGCTGTGATCGAGAACATGAGAGTCCCACACTTCTTGCAGGACCCTGTCAGATACATGGAACACTTGGAAAAGATCATGGAGGTCAATGAACTGACCGATGAAGAGCTCCAGGATCTCATATTTTAACCATCAGTCATTCCCTTTTACCTGAAATCTGTTCTGTTTGCCAGTTATACAGTACTGGACTTCACCACAGTCCGCAAAAATTGAATGAAATAACTTGGTTTTGTATTCTGCCAAAAGTCTAGAATATTTAGCTCTGTTAATTTTTTTAAAAAAAGAAAAAAAATACAAACCTCAGACTATCAATTCAGAAATGTTTCTTTGAAGAAAAAAAGTTCTTTGAGATATATGGTTTTTTAAAGGGTTTGTGCCTCTTCCAAATTAAATTATGTATTGAACATAGACACATTGTTCATTAGGAGTTCCCCTATGACTGGTCAGTCTTATTGCCCCTTACATGTTTGGTACGCTGAACAGAATAATTTGAAATGTCTCACTTCCATGATATTCTAAAATCTGCTGTTTATTCTTTCTAATGTCTGTGATTTGTAATTTTTCCCCTTGGCTTACTCACATTGGCCTCATTTCTGGTTACGGCCTTCACAGCAACCCCCTAGAGCAGCAAAATTGTGGAACTACTATAGACCATTCCACCATCGTCTTAATTGTACCCCATTGTATACGGCTTCCCTCATTGTAAGATCACAATGAGCAGAGACGTTCTCTTGCACGACAGCATTATAGTTTGGATGTGCTATAAAGGATGTGCTAGGTAGAGGTGATTGCCACACTTTACTTTTCAAGTAGCAGCAATTGATGTGGCTATTTGAATGGCTGTACACAAGCTATAAAGTTGCCCTCTTCATCCCAAGAGGGGTTTGCTGTTGTGGCGTTTAATATATATATATATTCCACTCACTGAAGTGACAGTCCTCCTCTTGCTTGTACAGTTTGTTTCAGGGGGATGAATTGTAGAAAGGGCCTTTTCTTTTTTTGCCCTTCAAGATCCATTTAGAATGTTTAGCAAATCAAATTAATTAGTCGTTTGGAAGGAGGACTGGGCTGAACCGAGAGTTTTCTGACTGATGTACGTAATGCGTCCAGCTACAGGGCCTCATTTCATTTCAAAAAGAAAAAAACCCAACCCCTTGCTCTAGTACCTGAACCCTTTGCGGGTTTGGTAACTTGGAGTGGCTTAGGCCTTAGTGCTGCAAGGAGCTCTGCCCTCAGGGAGCTTACTGTAGAACTTTAATGGAGGCCGGTGGGGACAAAATTCACAAGTGCCCTATTCCACTATTCAAGTGAAGTGCTCTGACACATCGGAAGCATCGTGGACTCCTTTTTACATTTTGGTGCCATACAAAAGCAGTAGCAAAAGCACGCCACTGTAGTGTATCTATTCAAAGTAACAACTTAGGCAAGACAAGAGAGTTGTTCGCTTCAGAGACCACATTTTCTGAGTCCAGAGTATTACGAAAGCGCGACTTGTGGCTCCCGAATACATGCTGACTTGAGCTTTGCATCAAACGTATTGGACGGACTTTTAATTCCGATCATTTTACCAAGGCTAAATGAAGCCATTAGCACCATGTGCCTCTGGAGGAGTCCCAGAGTCCCAATTCCTTCTCTTGTGCCTATAGAGAATGGGGGCAGGAGCAGGAAATGGCAGCCTTGAAAAGGAAGCCACATAGGCTGAGCGCTGCTGGTCAGTGTGTGGGATGAGGGAGAGAATTGGAGCCAAAGTTATGCTTGCCTGCTTGGGGGAGGGAGTATTGGCTGCAATCTTCCTCCCATCCTGGAGAGCAGGAGCTGCCTGTGATGTGTGGAGCGCTAATGCAGACACACCGGAGTGGGGGGAGGTAGGGAAGAGGAAGAAGATCTTATTCCCTGGCATAACTGCATCTGGCAAATGACAATCCAGCCCCTGGCATCGACTTGTGTGGAACTTAGTGGTCTCTGATTAAGAAATGGAGTAATCCCCACACCCTCTGACTTTACGCCAAATACAAGGGCGTCCATTCCAGATTTTAAATTTAACAACATTTTGTGAGCAATGAGAGGAAAAGAAATCTCACCAGGGCAAGAGGTTTTGACACTTTCAAATAACCCATAAAACCAGCTGCCTTTAAAGCAGTATTACAGGTTTGTGCAGTGGTGGCTGCTTGCTTGAGAACAGCAAAGCATTTGAGCTGCTCCAATACGCAAATGTGCTGATTTGAGTGTTTTACAAAATATGAAAAAAGAACACCTCACGGTAGCCTTAATTTTGTATTGTTTAGCAGCTTGAAACTCTTTTAATCTCTGCATTGTAGTGAGTGAATCTTCTCCTATGCCCCCAAAATATCAATAGAGATGTACCCATTACAAAGATAGCTCCCCCAATTATCACCCCTAATATCATTATCCCAAAATATCAGTGACTTTTCCTATGCCCCCAAAATACCATTCTTAGCTGTGCCTGCCTAGCTTTGTTTCAAAGCCCTACAGGCAAACTGAGCTGCTGTACACCTGGTGGAAATATTTACATTTCAGTACCAAGTAATGCACCCCAACATTCAGAATCAGTCAACTCATCTATTTGGCTGTGAGCAACAGAAGCACAGATAACACTTATCACATGTCAAAGGTCGGCCATGAAGATTTCAGGTAAAATGCATGCTTGTGGGTAAGTGGACTAAGATCTGTGGAATTACATCCGGGATGAATTTGGCCCACTGCGTTGAAACAGAGGTACATATGTCCCATTCTTTGTGAAAGGGCCATATGTTAGAGGTGATTTTTTCTTAACGGAAATAATCCCTGCATTCCCCAATTGCTTCTGTGGTAAATACAAGCATATGCTAAAGAAGCCCAATTATACTCATGGTAATAGTCTTGGATATTATATTTACAATAATAGTGTCTCTGAAATAATAATATTTATCTGTTCCTGTGCTACAGACTATGATGTTTACAGCCCCTTCTCAACTCCTTGTCATTACTACACTGTGGCTTTGCTGATGTAAACTCCAGGGCCTTATTTTTCTTCTTTAAAGTACCTGGTGTTTATTTTCCCCACAGACCAATCCACTTCTGCCATTCTCTATTATGTGAATAGGTGCGCTCCAGTACAACGTTAGATTGCGGAAGCATCAGTATGAACGTGCCAGCATAACAGTGCCAGACTTCTCCTGCCTCCTTTTGTGATAGTGTTTCAGATTTGTAATGGTAGTTTTGTAAACCTTTTGAAAATTTTATTGTAATGGACTGTTATTGTCAGAGTATTGAGGCTATGTAATAAAGTTTGTGGATGATAGAAACTCGCATTCTATGTACTGTCTATGTGACAAAGTCTCACAATGTCGATAATGTGATAACAGGCTTCAGGTCTTTAATTGTTTATGTTGAAAAGTGAAGAATATCACCATCCATCCATCACAATGTTTCATGTGCCCTTCCACTTCTCCCCCGCCCCTTTCACACACACAGCCTGTTCTCCATCTCAAAAGTCACCGTTGTTTAACTTACACCAGTTGTAAGGCCTTTAGATGTAAAAAAGCTGCAAATATAGACACGCACGTTAGGCTATGAACAAGCTTGTGGGTCTCATTGCTCCATTAGCTTACAAGCAAGTCAGATCTTTTTTTCTAAATGGAAAATTGACAAAAATGAATCAGAAAGTTATCAATATTTTCCATGGAAAATTTTGACTTTTTTTGGCAAAAATTGAAACCCAGAAGTTTTTCGCCAAAACATCAGTTGCCAAATGCTGCCATTATGTCCGACAGGAATTGTAGTTCAGGTGTCCCATACTTTTCTTGTCTCTTCTCTATGCTGTACTCTCATGAAATAGTGAGATATGTGTTATCAACACTTGATAGAACATAGATGGTGGAATGTTTATCACTTGTTATCAGTACCAAAGTGAAACTTATTAAATGCATTCCAATTTTTCCCTGAAAAAGCAGTTCTGATGCAAAATTTTGACTAGCTCTAGCAGACTAATTCTTTTTGCATGCGAAACTGTAGTCCTTTGGACAGAAACAGCTCCTCTGGCTAGACAAATAACTTGTATGGATAATGCCTTATACAGTCCATAACTATCTGGGGTCTTGGTTCAGTATTGTCTAAGAGTCGTGTGATGTGATATGGTGGGCCCTGCTGAATCAACTTCACCACTTTCTGGAACTCAGAGGGTTTCCTTGGGAAGATCTCCAATCTAAGCAATAAGCTGGCCCTATCGCTTTTAGTTTGTGAGAGAGGATAGACATCACAGAGCCAAAGGAAGCAGGATCATCATGCTGCATAAGGATCTGTGGCAACCGGAGTTGCAAATGAAGCCCGGGATTTGAATTTCCCGGACTTCATTTGCATATTGCCGGGCGCCGCCATTTTTAAATGTCCGCTAGTGTGGACTCCATGTCCCGCGGCTACACGCGGCATGGACTAGGTAGTTCGGATTAGGCTTCCTATTCCGAACTACTGTTACTCCTTGTGGAACTACCTAGTCCGTGCCGCGTGTAGCCGCGGGGCATGGAGTCCGCACTAACAGACATTTAAAAATGGCGGCACCCGGCAACATGCAAATGAAGCCCGGGAAATTCAAATCCCAGGCTTCATTTGCAAGTTCCTATGACTACATTAACCACCCTAGTTCGAACTAGGGTGATAGTGTAGACATACCCTGTCTGAATAGGAAAACTCCAAGAATAAAGACTAGTGATGTAAAAAAATGATAAGCCAGCAGATGGCGCACTTCTCCAGGTCAGCACTGTCACAATTCCCCCAGCAGGATACTGGGGACATTGGTGGTGGTGGAGTGAGGTGCCATCGAGCAGAGGAGACATAACTGAAGTCTGTGCGGGGGGGGGGGGGCAGTCAACCCTCATCACTGCGCCACACCTTCCCCCAGCCAGTTCTTGCCACCAGAAAGAGCCTGGGGCTTCAGTCACTACTGCTGCTACCACCAGGGCAGCAGAGGCTACTCCGAGCCCTGGGCCCTTTTAAATTGCCAGGCCCTGAGGCAACTGCCCCCTTTGCCTTTCTGTCAGCAGCCCTGCCTCAACTCTCATTTGCCTTGCCTTTAGTTCCACCCCTTTCTGTCCTCACATCCCTCACTCCCTTGCTATACCTAATTTGTCCTGCTTCCAGTCTCTTTCTGCCTTTCATGCATTTCCCGGTTCTCCTTGCATCTCCTTCCTTCACCTCTCCTCACACTAGTCTCCATTTCTGCTGCCAACTGTCATCAAAATGAGAATTGCAACGTCACTTTCTTCCAGTACTGAACAAGAAACTTTGTTAGAAGATGAGAAATAGCATTATCTCTGAAGTTGCATTCGCTTCAGCATCATTTGCGGTTCTTCTGCCTAAAATCTTAGGCCCTTCCCATCTAGCATACATATTCTCACATCCGCCCCACATTCCCCTGTTCTGTCACATACTCCCCCCCTCCAGGTGAGGCAGGAGCCAGTTTCTTATAGGCCATAATGAGAGAGCGGCACCAAAAGTTCACAAGTTCGCTGTTAAGAGATGGTAGGAAATAAAATCTCTCTGAGAAGTGGCAGGGCCCGGCATGGCTGGTTTGGTACTCATCTCTGGTACGGATGCATGAGGAGATGAGTGACTGTCATGCAGCAGCTGCCTGCACATGGAACAATGTTGCTGAAAACTTGGGAGTGGGCTTCTGACTGCATTGTGGATATGGCCTGCCATGCTGGGAGGAGAAGGCTGACTGGAGGGGGTCCATACAAGGAGGGAGAGTTGCTCATTGAGACATGTTGGGCAGCTCTTTAAAAGGCCCAAAAGGAAGATGACCCTTTGTGTGCTGGTTTTCAGGCCTGGTTCCTAAACATGAGACAGGACAAGACTGAAAGCAGATCCTTTGTCATCTGTACGGGTCCTTTGGGGACAGTGGCAGATATAGGGCAGGGCAAGCAGGGTGGCCGCCCCGGGCCCCGCGCTTCAAGAAGCCCCACGCATGCGCCGTATCAAAGGGGGAGGCCCCGCGAAATTGTGCTGCCCTGGGCCCCGCAAAATCCTCAACTGCCCCTGCTTGGAGACAGTAAACAATTGGAGAAGAGCATCCTGAGTAAAACTTGACAGTGTTTCTGCCTTCAGGGGTCTCTGTTTACTCCTTGCACATTCCCAGGATACATAACGGCCTGCAAAGCAGAGCACAAGCCAGTCCCAGCCCAGATGCCTTTTTGCTTCAGCACCTTGCTGACACTGCCCTGGGGAGCATGTCACAGAGCAGTGGGGCTGAAGCGAAAGAGCCTTTAGGCAATGGTACTATTGCACAGGAAGGTAAGAGTAAAGAACACAGAGAGAAATAAGGAGGGAAATAAAGCCCTCCCCCCCTTTACTAAAGGGTTCTCAAACGGGTGCTCCAAAAAGAGCCCATGTCAGGGCCTGGAGATGTTCCCCAGGAGCCCCATTCCCCCTGGTGTTAGACAAACTCCTGCATATTCACAGCACGGCAGGAGGGGAGCTCTGTTCTGCTACCAAAGGGGCTGCTGCACTCAGCGCCACCCTTAGCAAATCTGCAGGGAAATTCTCACAGGACTTACTGCTGGCTCTTCAAACGATGTTTGCGTGCGATGGTGAGTCGAGTCCAGGCACATTTGCCACTTGCACAACACTGCAGGCTTTCAGACCTCTGAAAGGGCACAAAGGGCCATGTTCATCTCCCATTCATTCTGCAGTTAATCTCCTTCATTCCTTTGGTTTTACGCCGCTGTAGTGGAGCCTTTTCAGATCAAAGGTTCTAATTCAGCCTAGACCACATCCACCTGCTGGTGAGTCTCAGACTGGTCACTCTGGGGTCTAGCAGTGCTTTTCCGTTGTGCACACACAATGCACAATAGGGCCTGGTAGCTGTCTTTTGGCACTACCGCATAGGTGGAGCTGGTACTGAGGCCTGTGGTGATAATAGATAAAGCTGGCAGCAGTGCCTGCAATGAACATGACCTAGCACTTTCCATTGCAAGACCCTGTTTGCAGTTGCTCATAACCACTGAACTTTGCCCATGCAGGCTGAAAGTTTCCAGGCTGGGTGTCTGCTTCAGGCTACATTGTAAGTTTCAGCAAAACCAGCTCAGACATTTCAGATTTCATATCACATGGTGGGGTGCAATCCAGAGCAGTGGGGGGTTGTGCCACTGCTTGGCCTGCAACTATAGGGGCCTCACAAAGCTTTGCTCTTGTAGCTCCCAACCTGGGCTGCTCACAGTGAGCCTGCCGCCATGCAGGTCCTACCCTGAGGGCAGATCCACACTATGCAGACAGGTCCCGCTGAGCTACACAACCTGAGTTACGTTAGTAGCGTAATTGGCGAAGGGGGCAGGGGGGAATGAATTGCCAGGCACTTGAGCAAGGTGTGGAAGGGTTCACAATCCTGGAAGAGGCAGGACTTTGGGCAGAAGGGGCGGGGCTAAGGTCAGCCAACCCTCACTGCCGCCCAGACCACGCTGCCTGGTGCTCTGGTGGTGATTTAAAGGACCCAGGTTTCTGGCCACCGCTGCTCCCACAACAGCAGCAGTGGCAGCCAGGAGTCCCAGGCCCTTTTGATCCACTAGGCCCCAGGGCAATTTGCCTCCCCATCAGTGAGCCTGAGCATAACTCGAATCAACATAGCCTACATCTACTTACTGTGGGGTCCACGCTACTCTGGGCTGACAGAAGAAATTCTCCCATTGACGTCCCTTATTCATATTGTTCCAGCAAAGTGATGGACACGTTTTAGGTGCGCATGCATGTGCGTGTGCGCACACAGACAGCTTGCTAAGTTTTGCTTCTCTGATCTTAGTTGCTGCTGAAGAGGAGGAATGCAATAGGCAGAGCACAGGGCTGAGTTGTAGACAGCTGGCTGCAGGACTGGTCCTTCGGTTTGGCTTGGAAGCAGAGCTAACATGATGAAGAGGCTATTGAGAAGTTAACTACATGAGAGCATCGTTTGAGTGTTGGAAAGTAAAACATCCCCAGACCCCTGCTTCAAACAAGAGCTATTAATGCCACCCACTGTCCCCTAGGGCATGTTCAGAAAGCACCATCTACATACAGGGGTGGGGAACAGTGCTCCCTCTAAGCCAGTGGTCCCCAACCTTTTGGGGTTGTCAGGCACCCCGGGGGCAGGGCCACTCACGCACCGGGCACCCAGGGGTGGGGTCACTCATGCGCCCGGGAGTGGGGCGGGGCTGTGCACACGTCCGAGGGCGGGGCCACCCATACACCGCATGCCCAGTGCCGGCGCCACCCATGCGCTGCACTCCCAGGGCTGGTGCCATTCTTGAGCTGTGAGCCCAGGAGTGGGGCTGCCCATATGCCGCACGCCCGGGGCTGGAACAGCCCATGCGCTGCATGCCTGGGCCCAGCGCTGCTCCTCTGCCGTGTGCCCAGGGGCGGGGACGCCCATACGCCGCGCTTCCGGGGCCAGCACAGCCCATGCTCCGCATGCCCAGGGACGGGGTTGCCCATGTGCTGCGTGCCCGGGGGTGGGGCCGGCCCTGATCACTTGGTGGGCGCACAGAAATGGCCTGGCGGGCGCCATGGCGCCCACGGGCACCACGTTGGGGACCACTGCTCTAAGCTGTGTGGCAGCAGAGCTTCACAGGTGACTACTCTGAACCCTGAGCCTCTGACTGGGTGGGGCTGATTAATCACCTGTGAAGCTCTGCTGCACCACAACTTAGAGGGAACACTGATGTGGAACCTCAGGCCCAGGGGACGATGCAGCCCGCGGGGTGTCTGAATCTTGCCCCTGAGGCTCAGCCACCCTACTCCCCTCCCCCCCAGCACTGGGAAGCCTGTACTGGTACGCCAGGCCCCCTGCTGCTCCACTGTGGGGCTGGAGCACACAAAATCTACTAAGCTGGGGCCCCCAGGCTCTGGTGTGCAAAGGGAATATGGGGATTGTCTTTATCCTTCCTCCGTCGGGGGGTCATGTGAGGGTTAGTGGGTTTTTTTGCTTCTCACTTGTGTGTGGCCCCCAACTGATTTTTCTGTGGGTCAGAGGCCCCCAGCCCCAAAAAAGGTTCCCCACCCCTGTTCTACAACAAACTAAGCAAACCCCCCTTAACGGCTGCTACGATTCCTAGTGCAGCAGACCAACAAGAGGCCTGTGCACTATTTGAAGTCCCAGTGGGATATAATAGCAGCCTATGCCTAACATTCACCCCTTCACAAAGATGAAATTCACTCTCTGTACAGGAATCAAAAGCATCCGAGCTGTTACCTTCGCCCTACAGACTCTTCCCTTGCTCCAAGACAGCTCCTCTTTCTGCTTGACAGCTACTCTACATAGAGTTTCCTGCCTTTCTTCAGTGGAACCTCACTGGTCTGCAGCCTTCAGCTCCGCCCCATTTACCTCCCGCTAGTAATCGCTGCGCATGCAACACTTGAGATCCTGCCTCCTCCCCCAGTGCAGATAGACACTTTTTAATTGCACCCACCCGCCACAGCTTAAAGGCTGCTGTCAACAGACTAGGCCAGAGCCTCAAGCTGGTATAAATGAAGGTCAACTGACTTAAGTGTCACTTCATCAATTCATACCAACTGAGGAGCTGACCTACTAAACCTTTTATTTCATTAGCTAAAAGGTAAATTCAGTCTCCAGATATTTTACAGGAAGAAAACATTGAGGACTAAAGCAGGAAACACTGTATTAATCTTTTATATATGGAGATATACCTATCTCATAGACCTGGAAGGGACCTTGAGAGGTCATCAAGTCCAGTCCCCTGCCCTCACAGCAGGACCAAGTACCATCCCTGACAGATTTGCCCCAGATTCCTAAATGGCCCCCTCAAAGATATAACTCACAACCGGGGGTTTAGCAGGCCAATGCTCGAACCACTGAGCTGTCCCTCCCCCTAGGGATAGCTTGTTCATATATGTCTGAATATGACCCCCTTTCTCATGTTGCGGAATACCTGGCTCTGCAAGTGATCAGTTCATTCAGTGGGATTACTTGAGGGATTAGGTACCACTCACCATGAGTAAGGATGGCAGAATCAAATCCATGCAGCCAAACTGGAGGCTATTCCAAGCTCTGCTGGTCACTCACTTTTATGACTGTGGGCAGTCTCAGTTTCTCTGTGTGAAAATAGGAACTCAAGAACGTACCTTGTAAAATCCTTTGAGATCTATAACCCCAATCCTGCACACATTTATGCACAGGGTTTCCAGAACCAGGGTATCAATGGATGGAAGTTGTGATACAAGTGCAAACTATGTACTAACTCTTTTGCTCTGTGAAACATTTAGGAAAGACTTACCCAATGTTTCATGTTTAACGATACATTTTCCCCTTAACTTAAAAGGGAATGGAGGAAGAGTCTGTTACAAACATTCAGAATACTTTATGAAGGAATCTTCTATTTGCTATTCAACGTTCATTTTTCTTAGTATGGTTTACTCAGAAAACCTTAAACCATTAGTATAATTGATTTGGGTGTAGTTGAGTTGTATCCATTAGCTAAAACTGGAAAGGAAGGGAGAAAAACACATTTCTTCTCAGAACCTGCCCAGTGTGTTGCAAGTTCTTTTTAGACAAAGGGCTTGTTATGGCTTTACTTGCCCTGGCACATGTCTCATAGTTTTCGGTGGACTTAGCCCACGATTTATAGCAGGATCAGTTCGGAATCAGGTCCAAATAGGTTTATTTTATTCCAGTTCTCATTTTTTTAAATAAAATCTGTTCAAAATACTTGTTCCCACAAAACAACAATGTGTAGTGTGGGTGATATCACTTGGTTACTACTATTTGAGTTTAGGCATTATTTCCAAAAGCCAGCACAATGGAAGTGGTGTGAGGATGACGGATGTATTTTGCTTTTATGCACTTACTGATAATAACCCTCTTGTACATAAAGCTGTTTGTTTTTTCTCCAATGTTACAAACCTTGTACTGTGTTGGGTCTGTGGGCGGCTGGAACAGAGTGCACCTTTGCAAGCTGTTTGGCAGGGCTATGTCTCCTTCCAAATTCAACACATTCCTTTGGTAAATGCTTACTGGCTTTTTCATGTCCTCACTGGCTTTGTGTCTCCTGCATTTCAAAACTTACTTTAGAATTTTCCATGTGTGCAAATGTAGGGTTTGGCTGCAGCCTGTTGACTGAAGTCCCTTTGCCACAGGACAGGCATGGCATGGGAAATAAACTTACCCTACGCTGCCCCACACATCTCACAGATATATTATTCAAGGAAGAGGAGTTCAGAATGGAAAGGTGGAGAGAAGAACTACAGGAACAATCCAGAGAATGGTGGGCCTATCATACCAGAAGAGCTTGACCTGCTTAGTCAAGCCAAATGAAGGCTGAGAGGACTATGATTGTTCTCTGTAAATACATCAGGGTGGTAAATACCGGAGCAGGTGAACATCAATTTCAGCTAAAGGACAATGTCGGCACAAGAAGAAATGGATATCAACCGGCCATGAACAAGTCCAGGCTGGAAAATAGAACAAAATTTCTAACCATCAGAGAGGAGAAGCTCTGGAACAACCTCTCAATAGGAGTTGTGGGGGAAAACATCATAACTCAATTTGAGGAAGCTGGTCAAATTTATGAGTGTGACTGTATGATGGGGTTGCTTGTGATGGACAGCAGGTCAGGAACTCATTTCTGGTTTCTTTCTTATGCTCTTCAAGGCTTATGCTTCATGGTTGCAGCCAGCATCTACAGACATCAGAATTCACCCAACTTCCCGATGTATTCCAGTTTTGTTGTTGTCCTTCCTCTGAAGCCATGGCTGGAGGTTGGACAATAGGTGGGTGAGCCCAGAGCTCTGAGATGGCTCTGAACATTCTGTCTCTTAGGTGTTTGGCTGGTATATTCTTGCTCACAGGCTCAGGTAATTGTTGTATGTGGGGGTCACAAAGGAATTTTTCCCCAAGTCAAGACTGGCAGTGACTCTGGGTTTCTGCTTTCCTCTGCAGTGGGTGGGTGAAAATTGCATGACAGGATGATCCGAGTATACTTCATTTAATCATTTCCCTGCCACAGTGTTGGCCTTGTATACTAGTGCATCTCAGTCCCTCGTATTCTCTGCCTGTGGCTCATAACAGTCCAGTCTAAAGTGGACTGTGATACTTAGGTCTAATTTCAGTTGTTGGGTTTAGCGTGTGGGTGCTGGTGGCATGTTATATACAGGGGGTCAGACTAAAGGAGTTTATTTCTTTTGGCCTTAAACTATATGACTCTAGGAGTGTAGTCCCTCTCAGGAACGTGTAAGGGAGGACTTGCCTATCTAGTGCAGTAAAGCATATCAGTGGGCTGTGAATTCTATGTGCACTAAAGTGTCATATTCCATTAATCCCTGCTGGTGCACACTAAAAGTTCACTCATGCACATGAACTTAGTCTTGGTTGGTGATGTTGGTTAGCATTAGACTTCACACCCAGTGATGTGCACTACCGCACTGTACAGACAGCCCTTTGTTAAAAATGCTAACTCATGGGTACTAGATTGTCACTGCCAGGATAAGTAGCTGGCTGGGTGCACACTGGGGGAGTAAATGACTTTCCACCCTCAAGAGCAAAGGGAGAACTGGGGGATACATTTGTCTCTCTGAGCTCAAAGGAATAAAACTAGCTCTATGTAATCCTCAGCTCAGATCATGTATTGGTCAGAAAGAAGTGTCATGGCAGTTCTTGCAAGTGTTAAAACTATACTTGACAAATCACTGACAGTTCCCAAGGCATGTCTCTTTTCTCTCTTTATGGTCTCTGTTATTGCTTCACTTTACAAGGAATCAATTAAAAACATTAACTGAAAAAAAAACCAAGAAAACAAAACAAAACAAAAAACAAACAAACCAACAACCCTGTTCTGTTGGGTTTTAACAGAGATAATGTGCAGTAGTAAAAGTGCATTTCATTTTCTGTATGATTCTCATCCAACTCTCCAGGCATGGATGCATCCATTGTGTCGGTAACGAGTTACAAATTGCTCAGCTGCAATGAGATACTCTAAAACATCCATGAAGAGCATCAGGGGTAGGAGAGAGACATCATCAAAAGCAGAGGCTAATGCTTTCTAAATGAGGGGGGGGAAAGGCAGTTCTGATTCATAGTTAAGCCTCAAGCAATGGGATCTTCTGACTGCCCCATGCCACGCCCTAGTTCATCATCGTTCATGTTTAATGTTTGAATCTCTGCATTCTACAGTCACTCCATTTCCATTTCGGGTCACCTCTTTTCTGTTCCAGTCCTTTTCCATGTAAAATTCAGCTAATACAGGGCAATGGTCTGAAGCCACACCTCCCCAGGACCAGTTATCCGGGATCCATGGATTTGTAAGGCCTTCTCTCACAACGGCCCAGTGACCTGCAGGAAGAAGAATTGCAAAGAAAAAGCTTAATATGGAAAAAGAGCAAGACAGAGGCTTAATCTATATGACCAAGGACCCTGTTCTGCAAACACTTATGTACATGAGGATTCTCAGCCAACTGACATCAATGGGACTGCTCAAGGAGTAAATCAAGATGCCAGCCTAGAAGGGATTTTATAAAGACTCTGTTTTCTTTGTTTCTTGTGGTAGAGATGTTTTACCTGTGAAAACCTTTTTCAAGGTTCGACTGATCCAGATGTTATCCAGCGACTTAGATCCCTGTGGATTCTTTGTGCTGATGTTTGTAAATGTATTTGCAGGGACTAGGTGATGGAATTTTTCCTTTCTCAAAAGATCGTGGTCACTGCTGTCTGGGGCTTGGTTAAAATCACCTAAGATGATCACATCTTTTTCTCCTAGAAAAATGTTAAAAAGACAAGAAAAGAAAGGAGGGAGAAAAATCCATGATTAAATCTGGGATGAAAAGAAATACAACCATTGAGTAGTGATGCTGAATTTACTTTGTATTGAGCCATTTGTTTCTTTAATGTGTCATGATATGATTAAAAATCTTCTCTTGTGAACAAACATATTAGCTTATCTATCTTACTAAGAGCCACTTGTGTTGTTATAATCCATAAAAAGCATCTGGAAATCCAATGTACACTGCACAATTCATGCTGCTTGTTTCCTTTTTGAATTTCCCTCATCACAAATGTCTGGGGAATGATCCCTTCCCTCCACCCCCAACTGTGTCTATTTGTATACAATGGCAGACTGACCCTACCACCAAGTGTTGGCAAGTCTGATCTTGTAGGTTTTAGGAATCTTAGGTGTTGTAAAAAGTGTGAAGATTTTGTTTGCTTTTATTTTAAATAAGACCTACATTTTGGGCCAAATAAGCCCTGATGCTGTCTTTTTACAGTTTTGCAGCTGAGATATTTTTTGCGAAAATATTAAGAAGGAGGTGTGTCTTCTTCGAGAATGGATCAGAGCCAGGAAAAAAAAAAAGAGAGAGAGAGAGAGAGAGAGACTGAGACTGAGACTGCAGGACACTGATTCTAAAATTGTAGATTTAAGAAATTTCAAAAAACAACCAGTACTGGTAGCAGAAGCAGCAGTCATACCCCCTTGTAATTAACAAATCGAGGACTCTGTAAATCTATTGAAGAGATGAAACTTGTATTTATTTGTTTAAGTAACTAAACGGATTTTATGGAACTTTGAGATGCCGCAGAGTTTGTCTATGGTTGAGATTTTGAAAGGAACTAAGGATGTTATGCGTGCAACTTCTTTAGGTTCCTTATACTTAAGGTGAGATTTATGTGGAAAATTGTCTAGATTTAAAAATATAATAAAATAAATTTAAACCTCATCCCCATTGCTGAAATATCCTGCTGCTTTGACACCAGTGTAGCTCTAAGACTCTCAATGAAAATATCCTTGATGTATGCTAATGTGAGAGAAGAATGAGACTCTAGGTATTTGTGTCTCTTTTGTCCCATGTTAGGTTGCTGGTGCCTGACACAAACCACTTCATGGGTTGTGGTGATGCTGGTACCCATCCAAAGAAGTCACTGCATTATGACTTGATAAATGACTATGAGGAAACTGCTAAAAAAGGATGCTAGTATGCTAAAATAGCCTAAAGTTTAACCTCAGAAAGTCTACTAGAGAATATCATATGGATTATAAATACCTCAGTATTTTTTTCAAATTTTCCCCTCTGAAGAACATTTATTTCAAATATCTGCTTTTGATGCATCATCCTACATTTATTGTCATCAACCAGACCATCTAGGACCAGCAGTTGGCCAATGTTCCCTCTAATTATCCATGCATTTGTGGAATAAATTTTGTTATGTGCACCGGGGCATTTGCAGATTTGCACTACCAGTAGAAACAAATGCTGCTGGATCTGGACACTCTGCCAATTAGCTGGGCAATATTTGAATCTCTCCTGGTGCACAGCATTGAGGGAACACTGCTGTTGGCTTGTTCCCTGACTAACTTTACTGCTAGACAACTGGTGAGTCCACTGGACTGCCTTGAAACTGAGAGTGGCTCGACTGGCTGCTGGTTAAGCAACCATGCTTATAAGCCTGTCTCCCCAAACAGATCAACAGCTGATCAACGTCCACCATGTATGCAGCTGTGCTTGTCCTTCTTCCAGCCCCACCTCTTCCTCTGGCTTCAAACTCATGCTCTGTCTCTGACTTATTGAGCTGATTGACCCTCTGCTTCTGGATTTGGCTTCAGTCCCTCCAGTATCGACTTTAGCTTGTTTCCTGAACTCTGCCCACTCTAGATCCAGCTCTAACCAGTATGCCGAACTCTCCACTAGCTGTAATTCCACTCTGCTGCTGTAGAGGCAGTCAGCCAGCAGGGGGAGCTTAAGTTAAACAACAAACCCTGTTCATCTCTTCCCTCCTATCATTTTGCTTATTGGACCCTTTTTCTGTTGGAGAGAGAGAGAGAAGCATTTGACAAGCTCTGTCACCAACAGAAACTGGTCCAATAAAAGGTATTACCTCACTCACCTTGTCTCTCTAATACCCTGGGACTGCCCATGGCTACAACTACCCTGCAGTCATCTTTTTGCTTATCATTTAGAAAGGAAAAACCAAGCTCCTATGCAAGAAATAGTGGGTAGTAGGATCAACTATTACCTGATTAAAAATAATGAAACAGAGAAACCACTATTATTTTCTATCTAAGATGATGACAAACAACACAAATATTTAGTAGCTCCTCTGCTATTTTCAGCTCCATTAGAATTATGAAGAAAATCAATGCTTGCCTGACGAATAAGGTCAGAATTACTCTAGAAGTAATCCATTTACTTTCATGCTTCTAACTCAGTACTACAAATAGAAAACACCATTTTAATTGCTTATAAACAAATGCTTGAAGGTACCATCTTCTATAAACTAAGACGCACACGATGTCATGAATCAGTACTGCAAGTTCGTCCCGTAACCAATAAAGATCCCAGTCTTGGTAAGAGCAATGAAATGAATCAGATCACTCTGGGTCATGGTCTTACAATGTTGTAGTGAAACAGGTGGGAAAATATGCGAATTACCTCTAGTTACTAGCTCATCCTTCCTCTTTTAGGGTATGTCTACACTACCACCCTAGTTCGCACTAGGGTGGTAATGTAGTCAACCAGAGTTGCAAATGAAGCCCGGGATTTGAATTTTCCGGGCTTCATTTGCATGTTGCCGGGCGCCGCCATTTTTAAATGTCCACTAGTTCGGACTCCGTGCCCGCGGCTACACGCGGCACGGACTAGGTAGTTCATACTAGGCTTCCTATTCCGAACTACCGTTACTCCTCATTCCACCGTGAAATAGAATCTCCACCGTGTGCAAGGGTAAGACCTGACCTCCTCTCAAAGGAAATAATGGCCTGATCCTGAGTATGGCATGACACTGAGCAGGGTATTTATGAGGAGGCTCCAGAAAGGAAGACCTTCCCAGAACCTCAAAGACCTGTCTACAGTGGGCTGATACATGGACAGCCTGTGGGGAGTTGGCCCACAAGTGGGAAGAGCAGTTATTGGGTCAAGAGCCTGACCGACATACTAGGACAACCAACTGCTTGTATATGGCTGGGACCATCCAGCCTTGTGCTTTGAACCCAGATATGCACAGTGTTTAAGAGTAGAAAAGGAGTTGGCTGCACAGCATCATCTCCCACAAGCTGAGGGAAACACACCCTCTCAATTGCTCCTGGAGGGAAGAGCACAAAGAACCCACGGCTCACTGGCCTAACACCACTGGGCCATTGACCAGGGAGGAAAAGCAGACACTATTGCTCCTGGGGACCAACGGTGCTCCAGGAGGAAACAATGCTTAATAACTAGTTTCCTCCAATGTACAGGTACCACTTCACACATATGCAAGATAACAGACCTATTGTTTGTTCACAAAAGTAGTCTGAAAGCAGAGTTTTCCTGAAAGTCACACCTGAATTCATTTTAACTCAAACTAAATGATAGACTTAAGTATCCCTGAGAAATTAAGTCTTTGCTATCCACATGCATCCTGATTAAGGAAGGAAACGGAGCACATGCATAACTTTAAGTACATGATTCATCTCATTGACTTCAGTGGCACTGAATTCAGCCCAGTTTAAGCTCAAAGTTGTGCATGTACTTAAATTCCATCTTGAATGAGGACCTGTGTGTTATATGTTTTGAGAAGGTACATGTGTCAACTCACAAGGCCAGGGCCCAACAAGATTATGGATTCCCTTCAAGACAGAGTTGTTTAGGGATAGTTGCTTTTATTAATCTCACTACATTACTACTATTACCGGCTTAATACTGCCACATGGTTACATAGCTACTGCAAAGTAATACGCCAATAAGCATAGCATAAAAGTGAGCAACAGGCACATGGAAATGCTTATGCCCCTTCAGTCTGCAGGGAGTCCCGTTCCTGTCACCTCGCACGAGGCCGCAGTGGAGGTAGCTCCAGCTGGGGAGATCCAGGGCACCCTCTGAGGTCTAGGTCCCTGGTGAGACTCACTGGACACGGGACTCCCAATGATCTTATACTTTAGGGCTATGTCTAGACTGGCATGATTTTCCGGAAATGCTTTTCCGGAAAAGCACTTTTTACGGAAAAGCGTCCGTGGCCAATCTAGACGCACTTTTCCACAAAACAGCCCCGATCGCCATTTTTGCGATCAGGGCTTTTTTTTGCGGAAAACAGTACTGTGCTGTCTACACTGGCCCTTTTGCGCAAAAGTATTTTGGAAAAAGACTTTTGCCCGAATGGGAGCAGCATAGTATTTCCGGAAAATCACTGACGATCTTAAATGAGATCGTCAGTGCTTTTCCGGAAATTCAAGCGGCCAGTGTAGACAGCTGGCAAGTTTTTCCGGAAAAGCGGCTGATTTTCCGGAAAAACTTGCCAGTCTAGACACAGCCTAGCTGTTTACTGAGTGTCCACGAGCTGGCCCAATGCCACTCTCAATGTTCCCACGGGGCTGAGAACCGAGGTCATGTTATTTATCCCATACTCAGCTCTTAGCTAGCAAGCATAGGCAGTTGCAGCTGATGAAGGCTGTCTGATAAAGAACAGGTCTTTTCATCAGCAGGGCTCATGGCTGGCCTAGAGGAATACAAATGTAACCTCTGCAAGCCCACATATGGCTTTTTATGTGACAACATGGTAATCCTTCATTCAAGACAGGGTGTAAATTCCTATTTTTGGTGAAAAACTTAACATAACACAACCATACCATGCCTCTGTAATGCTCCAAACCAGAAGGACTACTGGTCTGACACAGGGATGTAAAATCCCATTGAATCAGTTAACTGGCTAAACGTTACACTATGCTACGTTTATCTGGTTAATTGCTTAACTGAGATCCATGGTGCAATGAGCCTGGACAGGCTGGAACGGCCCCATAACAGCAGCAGGCCCAGCTGGGCTGCCAGTTAACCATTTACATCCCTAATCTGACAAAGCATGACCATTCTTATATTAAGTCATGGTAAAAATAAGTGAAAACAGAACTAAAATGAAACTAAAGAAGCAGAACTAAATTCAGACCCAAAGAAAGTGGGTGCAAATCCACTTGCTTTAATAAAGCTGCATCTCATTATGCCAGGTCTGAATTTGGCCCATATGGGTTACATAAACAATCCATTTCTTTTTAAGAATCCTTTCAAATTGCAAGACATGTGAAAAAATACTTAACACAGTATGACTTAAAAACAGCCTTGACTGACCTTTTGCAGCTCAAAGGAAAACAAGAGTGTCTAAGCCTCTCCTGAAAGAGGAGATTGGTATTGATTCTTAACTTTTCAAGTGACTGACCTGGTAAAACTGGGTCAAGTTGAAAATCATCACACACATAACCTTATAACTGCTTGGCCTTTGTTAAATAGCAAACAACATGTTCACTTTTCCTATCCCTATAAAGAGACCTAACAATAAGAACTGGAAAATCACTGCTTAGCCCCGCAAGAAATTGTTTACGAGTACCCAAGCAGGAAGTAGGTTTCAGAAGTGGGACAGAGTCAAATGTCTCTCTAATAAATTACACTTTCAGTGCCAAAATCTACTCTGATTTACATGGTGTAAATCCAGAATAAGTCCTGTGAAGTCAGTGGAATTACTCTGAATTTACAAAAATGTATAACAAAGTAGAATTGGGCTTATTTTTTAAAATAGGCATCAAAAGGTTTGGGATGAACTGTTTTTTCTCAGAGTAGTTACAAAAATACTATGAAGTAAAGGTATAAAATCAATTTCTGTCTAAAAATTCACTAGTCCTGATTCTGATCTCATATAAGTCCCATTTTAATAAAGCATTTTAGCATGTGTTTAGCTTTAAGCCTGTGAGTATCCCATTAATTACACTGGTTTATGACTGGGAATAATTCAATATAAAGCAATGGCAAGCCAGCACAAAGTCAATCTGGACTCATGTTATGCCCTAAAAATCGGGGTAGAGGGGAAACAGAAAAAGAAATGCTGAGAAACAAAATGGGCTGGACATAACTTCAAACTTTTAAATGGAAAGGGACTGGTGAGAATATAAAATCAATGTGGGGCCATGTAGATTTTAGTTTGAGATTAACTGTAGTTCATTCTAATTACATGAGCTGAGTGTGTGCATGTCCTTGGATAAAAATAACATCATACCTTTCAGGGTTTCCTGCAGAGTTTGTGCAAAGGTTGCTAATTTGTGGCTATCGTGATTCTTCCCTGGATTCTCTCCTGCTGAGGGTAACAGGGCCAGATGAAGGTTAACCAGTGTTAGATCATTCATTCCAACCTAAACAGGAGCAAACAATGTAACAAAGAAAGGATCAGGATGGTCACAGAAGCGTAAGCTTTTAATTCTGTCATTTACTCCAAGCACACTTTTTTTTTTTTTTTAGCATTTGGGACTGGTCCTATAGATGAGGGTATTTTTATTTCTTTTAAAAACACTGGGCAGACATTCTGCAGTTCTAGCTGCAATACAGTTGTATCATTTCAGGTCTGGAGAAACAGTTTTTCATAATCAATAAGCTTCTGTACCAATAAAAATCATGTTACAACTGAAAATATAAATAATGCTAACTTTGTTCACAGTTATTACACAGATTAATTATTCCATAGTGTGACCAGAGACTAAACATGGAACACAACTCCTTGATGAAAACTGTTCATTGGGGTCTCTGTCCAGTGTACGCATACTTAGATCCTCATCTGATGTGTGTAAAAAAAGCAAGCAGGAGTATCCCCAATTTTTCCAGGTAGATTTTTGACCTTTTCTGTACACACTAGAAATCATTTCAGAATGCTATCAAAGTCATCACAGTCACAAACCATGATCCCTCTGTTCGCCAACTTATTTTATGTGAAGGCTGGTGCCTCAAGCTGCCACTTGGTCTCAGACTTTCACAGACATCCAAGCACACAGGCACGAGCCCCACCGGACAGACCACCCTTCTAGAATGAGTGGATACTCCTGAATGGGCTGTCCCAGTGAAAGAACTTGGAAACATTGTGAGGTCTCCCACTGGTGGGATTGACTTTACATTTCTCTTTACATTTCTCCATCAAGGGAAGATTCGAAAGCCTGACTCCCCTCTTCTCAGTCTGCAGGCATCAGGGAGATCTGCCTACAGATCTCACTACAACTGGAGCCTCTGTGCTTCTGCACTGCTTCCCATCCTCCTGCCGGAGTTTACGACATACTGACATGCTCCAGTGGTTGTTTCTATTGGACACCTGCCCCCCCCTCAAGGGGGTTCATTTGGTGGGGTGGAACAAAATTAGCATTGACTTAGATTAACATTTCCCATGGAGTTTAAAAGGGGGAAACTCCACAGACAGAATGCCACCCCCCTCCATACGCACCCCTCCTACCATGCATAGCCAGTGAAGTGGGGGGGTGGAGGTACTTCCCCTGGGGTTGATAAAAAGATGGCGCATAGCAGAGAGTCAGCATGCCCTATTAAACACCACCATCCATACAGCTTAGTTCCTGCTGGTTATTGCTAACCCCCATCCATGAGAATCAGGCTGATGGGCCTTCACTCTCACCTCTTCAATAGAGGGGGATACGGTCTGCTAATGCTTATAGAGAGATAGGATAGCCAAAAGGCTTTGCTTATGATGCAACAGGCCAAAGTAGTGGCCTCCATCAAAGGGCAGGCAACTGTTAGTCACTAGAAATGACGTGTTGCTTCTTTGGATTTTCTACCTAAAAGGTTTTTACAGAAGCATAATTGAAAAGGCAACCACAACATGATGCCGCTACCTTGAAACGTGCAAGGTGAGGGTGAGGATAGGCGTGCTTCCCATTGCCGTTAGTGTGCGTGTTCTCCTGTAAGGAGGCATCCCTCAGCTCGATGCCAGCTGTCGTGTCCCAGAGGAAGCCAGAATATTCAACCCCCTACAATTAAAAAGGAAAAAAGCTGTTAACAAAAGCATGAAATATGATGACACCATTGTTGTGACCATTCCATGACACGTACCCAGGGCTGCATTCAGCCCAACCGAGCCCAGAGCCCATCAATTCCACCAGTCTCTATGGTCCAAATTTAGTAGTATCAACAATGGCTATGTGAGCTGGTCAGAAAACATGCGACACGCAGCAGTGCAGGGCAACGTGTGCTGATTTAGCATCAAGTGAAGGTGCAGAATAAGTTTACCTGACCACATGCGCTGGGGAGAAGGGAGAAGAGCAAAGCTACACATAGCAGAATGTGAGAGAATTTACTCCCATAGCCCCCTAGAAAGAATACTCCATGGCCAAATTCAGCCCAAATGCGGCAAAGCACTTTAGCCACAACTTCCACTGACCTTAACAAAATTTATTTACATCAAGGACTGAATTTGCACCGCTTTGCACTACTTACAGACACTTATACCTGTCTTCTGGCTAACTGAAGCTCATGTAACTTACAGCACGATTAAAATGAGTCAGTCTCTGGATCTAATAAGCCACCTCAACTATTCCACTGGTAATATTGCTGCATGTGGCATGAGCTGGTGCAGTGTAAGATGCATCCTTTCAAAGACTGTAGTACAGGTTCCTTTGGTATTCTTGGAGATATCTCTGATTTAGACATAGTGCCTCCAGGAGCTCTTGCTGGGATCACCCATGTCTCTGAATGTGTGCGTGTCTCTCTCTCTCTCTCACACACACACACACACAGCCCTCTCTCTTCCTGACCTTTTTTGAACACCTCCCTCCAAATAAAGCATAGCTAAAGCCAGCCCCAGAAATGGCTTTCCATTCCCTACTGCAGTAAAAAAGCAGCATCCACTGTGCAGTATTTTCTCAGGGTTTGTACAAAGACATTAAGGTCAGTTAATTTTTTTTTTGCTTGCTCAAAGACTTCTTAAAGCTTTAAAATAGTACCATAATTATTTCATCTGACTATTGTTCCATAGCTATAAGTAAGCGGAGGGAGAAAAAACAGCTCTCCTCTTTTCTCTCCATTCTCTGGCTTCAGACTGCCTCATTACACTGACAGCCAGAAATCAATTTTTGGAGGGGCTGAGAAACCACACACAATGGAAGACAGCTCAGTCAACGAAAGGGCTGCTCTTTGTTACTGTACTATGTATACAGAATCTTCAAATAGAACTGTGCTCCTGAGCCACTTACAAGCTAAAAAGTGGCATAGTTAGTGGTTCAATAGCAGAGTCAGTTTTTCTTCTTGATAAAGCTCATCAGTTGAAATCAGAGGACCCAATTTCTATTCCTTGTTTGGCCACAGACTCCCTCTGTGATTTGCATAGGTCATTTAACTTCTCTGCACCTGTGAAACAGGCTTCTTAATAGTTATTAATCAAGCAGTCCTCACTCAGCTAAAACTCCCATTGACTTCAGAGAGAGTTGACACAAGTAAAAACAGAGAAAAGGACTTTTGGATTTGGCCAAGGAATACCAAAAGACGGTATCATTTTTTGGAAGAGGAACAGGGAACTTTGTACCACTTTTATATTGTGTATTCAATTGGTCTCATACAGGAATGGGGAACATTTTTGGAGTCAGGGGCCACTGACCCACAGAAAACTCAGTCAGGAGCTGCATACAAGTGAGAAGGGAAAAAAAAACCTAACCCTCACTGATGTGGCCCTTGACTGAAAAGCAGAAAGACACTGCCCACATTTTCCTCGCACACCAGAGCGTAGGGGGACCCAGACTAATAAATTTTGTGTGCTCCAGCCCCATGGTGGGGAAACGGGGGCTGGAATGCCAGCACTTCCCAATTTGGGGGCGGAAGCCCTGAGCCTCGAGGGTTGGATCCAGGCAAGCCAGAGGCTGCATCTAGCCTTGGGCCCTGGTCTATGTTTAAGATGTTACAACAGATCATAATGCTGCAAAGGGATTGGTGTCCCACCATGGGGATGGGAGTCTCATCGAAGCCAATGGGACTTTGGGGACGAGCAAAGAGTCTTCTTGTAGGTCCCTTGGCAGGGTGGAAGCTCTAGAACGTAATTCTCAGAAATTTCAAGATGAGCCAACTAATCCACTCTGAGCTAGATTTTAATGGTTGACAACAGCAGTAAAATCCAGAGACTTCTTTGGCTCAGCCAAAGAAGTCACCAATTTCATTTTACCCTACATATGATTAATTATTATTATTATAATTATTATAGCAGTGTCTGGAAGTCATCTGAGTTCAGAGTTCTGTTGCGGTAGGTGCACAAGCACATAGTCAGAGGCAACAGAGGAAGAGTAGTTATTCCTTTCTCCTCCTTTCCCCCATTTTACAGAGAGGGAGCTGATGAATAGAGAGTAAATCAACTTCACCTGGCCAAGGTCACAAAGGAAGTCTCACAGAGCTGGGAAATGAACCCAGATGTCCTGAGTCCCAGCACAGTGTACTAACAAAACCACGCTCTCCCTCAGGTGCAGCGACATCTTGGAGTTAAAATCAGCAAATGAAAATTCACATAACTCTTTGGTTTCTTGTACCCCATTCATCTTCTAACCAAGGAATAAAAATGCCTTGAAATGGATTACTTCATTGTGCATACAATGAGGCTCTGTCACATATTCAAATTAAAAGTAGGGGTGTCAATTAATCGCAGATAACTAAAAAAATTGTGATAATCACAGTTTTAATTGCACTATAAAACAATAGAATAACAATTTAAATCTATTAAACATTGTTGAATGTTTTTCTATATTTGATTTCATATGCAACACAAAATATAAAGCGTACAGTGCTTACTTTATATTATCTTGATCACAAAGATTACCCTGTAAAAATGATAAAAAATAGTATTTGTCTGTTCACCACATACAACTATTGTGCAATCTGTTTATCATGAAAGTGCAACTTACAATGTAGATTTTGTTACATAACTGCTCTCAAAAACAAAACAATGTAAAACTTTAGAGCCTACACGTCCATTCAGTCTTACTTTTTCAGCCAATCGCTAAGACAAACAAGTTTGATTACATTAAAGGGAGACAATGCTTCCCACTTCTTATTTACATCAACTGAAAGTGAGAACAAGTGTTCATATAGCACTTTTGGAACTGGCATTACAAGGTATTTACGTGCCAGATATATTAAACATTTGTATGCCTGTTCGTGCTTCGGCCACCATTCCAGAGGAAATGCTTCTGTGCTGATTGATTATACTTGCTAAAAAATAATGCATTAATTACAGTTGTGACTAAACTCCTTGGGGAAGAATTGTATGTCTCCTGCTCTGTGTTTTACGCACATTCTGCCACATATATCATCTTGGATGTTGACTCAACACATGTTGTTCATTTTAAAAACGAACACTTTCGTACTAGATTTGACACAACACAAAGAAGGCACCAATGTGAGATTTCCAAAGATAACTACAGCACTCAACCTAAAGTTAAAGAATATGAAGTACCCCAAAAAAATCTGAAAGGGATGAGGTGTGAAATAGGCTTTCAGAAGTCTTAAAAAAGCAACACACCAATGCGGAAACTACAGAACCCAAAGCGCCAAAAAAAGAAAATCAACCTTCTTCTGCAGGTGGAATCTGACTCACATGATAAACATGCCTTGGTCTGCATTGCTTTGGATCATTATCAAGTAGAACCTGTCATCAGCATGGATGCATGCCCTCTGGAATTGTGCTTGAAGCATGAAGGGATGCATGAATCTTTAGTGTGTCTGGTACATAAATACGTTGTGACACCAGCTACAATAGTGAAATGTGAATGTCCAGTCTCACGTTCAGAAGACAATGCAAACAAGAAGTGGAAAGCATTATCGCCTATAAATGTGAACAAACTTGTTGTCTAAGCAATTAGCCGAAGAAGTAGGATCAAGGGAACTTTTAGCCACTAAAATTATAGATTGTTTTATTTTTTAATGTAGTGTTTTGTTCATACATTTGGCACGTTCAACTTTCATGATAAAAAGGTTTGCGCTATAGCACTTGTGTGAGGTGGACTGAAAAATACTATTTCTTTTGGTTTTTTACAGTGGAAATATTTTAATTAAAAATAAATAGAACGGGAGCACTATAGACTTTGTTTTCTGTGTTATAATTGAAATCAGTATATTTGAAAATGTAGAAAACATCCAAAATATTTATATAAGTGGTATTCCATTACTGGTTAGCAGCGTGACTAAACACAATTAATTTTTTATAGTGCTTGACAGCTCTATTCAAAAGTATTCAAATAGGGTTTCCAGTGGCTGCTACAATACATTTCTTATTATGCTTGTGCGACTTTTCAGTTAGTCCTGGTAGCTATGTCTAATTTGTAAAGGAAATGCTTCTTTTTTCATTTAGCTTCCACTTCAGAACCATTGCAGCACCCAACAACTGTCACAACAAACCATGCTCAAACTTGAATAGGAACATGATTCATATGTGGAGAAGAAAAACAAAGCTGTGGGTTCTTTTTTCAGTACTGTGATGAAGTACTTACTGGGACACAACCGTTTCCATCTATTACATTAAAACAGTACCCAGAATAGACTGAAAATAATCCCATGTGCAACCACAAACAATTCATTTCCTTTCATGGGGCCATGTCTCATCTTCATGGCATGATGTGTGCAGAATACCCAATCTTATAATTATAAGTGTCCTGTAAATTACCCTACTGAACAACAACAGACCAGATCCTGGCATGCTGAAGAGTGAGTACCTTACTCCTCATGTAGTCTCACTGGAATAAGCTACTCAAAAAATAAAACACTACACAACCTCAGTAAGGCTGACAGCATTTAGCTTAGTGTAAATATATTCTATATACTTTACACAGTGGTGGGTGCCAATAAATAATGGTTTACACATAACAGGATGAATACTTTGCTTCCATATACATTCGAAATATTGGAAGTACTGCAGTAGAAGTGTTTATTTTTGAAAAGTGCAAACAGTGTACTTTAAACATATGCAATATACAGTTTATGGAACACATAACATGAGCTTCTTTTCCAGATGACAAAAGAACACTGAATAGACTCCCTGTGATTTGCAAACAAAGAAAACTGGAAAGATTAGAAACTTCCAGCCAAAATTTTATCATGGACCAAGGTAAAAAGACCAGCAGAATAGCACTCAGCAAGTACAGGCAGTCCCCGGGTTACATGGATCCGACTTACATCGGATCCCTACTTACAAACAGGGTGAGGCAACCCCGCACTAGCTGCTTCCCCCCAGCAGACCAGGGAGATGCGAAGCTAGCGCCTCCCCCTCCCCCCCAGCAGACCAGGGAGACGCGGAGCAGCTTTTCTCAGCAGACACCTCAGCTTGAGAATAAAGGACTGAGGGAAGTGAGGTGTGGGAGAATAAAACTGAGCTTTGGAGAAATGTTTGGCTAGAGTTTCCCCTACAATATGTACCAGTTCCGACTTACATACAAATTCAACTTAAGAACAAACCTACAGTCCCTATCTTGTACGTAACCCGGGGACTGCCTGTACTTCAAGATGTCAGCAAGCAGAATGCAGGACTATCTTTGTATCCTATTGTATGGTCTTTGCCACACACTCTTCTTTTTAAAATATGTATTTTTCCTTGCTTCCTGGCTACACAAAGAAAAATTGCTCTTTGAAAAATCAACAACAAAAGTAAAATCAAATATCACAGAAAGAGTCAGCTCAAAATTGAGGAGAACTGCAACCACCGCCCCCTGCAAATTGCAGAATGTTTTGGCCCAAATTAAAAATATGTCCTTGGTTTGAGCAAAACAAAATGAAGTAAAAGGTCAAGTTTTGGGGATTAATGTACCTTATATAGCTGGCCTGTGGGTTTCTCGGAAACAACACCCTTCCAGCATCCTCTAGGGCCCTTCCACTTACGGATGTTTGGCAGAGTCGGCTGGTTCAACTCCATACAAAACTGCAAAGGAAAAGAAAAAGCTTTGTAGAGATTTTTTTTTCTTCCTTAAACAAGAATAAAGCAGCCTTGTAAAGCAGTATTAATAACAGACATACTAGAGATGACAGACTATAACCTCTATTGAAATATTAAACACATGCCGCCTACAGATGCGAGCGAGGCCAGCTCCGCAGACAGTGTAAAATGGCATATCTCTCTTGACTTAAATGGAGTGATGTCAATTTATACCAGCTCTGAATCTGGCCCCTGGGTTTTCATACAGCAACAGCTTGAACGAACTCTGGAAAGGCAGGCTCGGTCACTTAGGCTATGTCTACACTACAGAGTTTTTCTGCAAAAACTCGCAGAGCGTCCACACCTCAAGTGTGTTTTTGCGCAAGAGAATCGAAAGAACAGAGGGGTTTTTGTGCAATTGGTATTCCTCTTTCTATAAGGAAGAAGCCTTTTTGCGAAAGAGCACTTTCACAAAAAGGCATGTGTGGATGGGGAAGGGGGGGCGTTTGTGCAAAAAGAGGAAAAAGGAAAAAGCACAGGTGCCCCGGTGGCCATTCTGTACATACCAATCAGTGCTTACTTTCGAGAGAACTTCCATGCAGTCTGGGCACTCTTTTTCGCAAAAGCCCATAGTTTTTTTGATGTGCTTTTGCAGTGTGGACGCGCTCTTGCGCAAGAAGTTTTTGTGGAAGATCTCTGCCAATAAAAGCTTGTTGTGCAAGAAGCCTGAAGTCTAGACATAGCCACAGAGAGAACAAGCACATGCCACTAGCACGTAACAGAAACTCTGAAACGTTAACATCCATGAGAGTTTGCATAAAGGGAAGACTGAGCCAAAGTCTGCACCAACTTTCACTCACTTTGACATTTTTAGAACTTTTATTAAAACAACTCACTGAAGGTGCTATAATTGTAACTTATTTAAAACATTTGACCCACAAGTTAATTTATGCAAAGCTCCAGACCTTTTAGTGTAACTGTAAGGAGTTAGAGTATTTGAAAGTCTCTACTAAGAATGATGTGAAACTGAAATAGCCACGTTATATTTTAAAAGAATTCCTTTTATGCCTGCTTCCAATTATTATAACTCTATCTTCTAGGCCATAACCACAGAGCCAGACCCATGTCCTGTTCCAGACCCTTTGCACTATTCTGGTATATTGTTCTGCAAAAACACAAATATTTTCAGTGAGAAAAGTTCTCTTTGGGTGAAACCTTGCATGATGTCTGTCACACCAAAACATAGGGCTAAGCTAAAAGCAACAAAGAGGGGTTTATAAGGCAAATGATAACCAGAGCTCCAATCCCTCAAACCGAACAGTGCAGATAGACCATGCTGCCCATGCAGACTTTCACAGGCTTCAATGGGCCTGCTTGTAGGAGTACAGGTCTCCTGCATGGAACTCATTGCCAGGTTGGGGTTGTGGCTTAGAATAACAACACTGGGGCTGCATATCTTACCAGCTTACTATTTTCTGAGGTTTTCACTAGGGATGTAAAAGTGTAGTCGATTAACCAGTTAACCAATAAGCAAAAGCTTATAGGCTAATGCTATAGACTCCCCTCCTCCCCACTTGCTAGTAAAATTTTTAGCAGGCTGGCCAGCAGCCCGGCTCAGTCCTGCCTTGCGACGGGTCCGGGACCTACTCCAGCTGGAGCTCTGCATTTAAAGCGTTTTAGGCGCTGGGCCGGCAGGCAGCCTAGCTCAGTTCCGGCTTGCACCGGGTCCAGGAGCTCAGACCATCCCTAGACAGGGGCTGCTGCCACCTTGCACCACTGCGTCTGTATCAGAGCCAGCAATACAGGGTGACAGGCAGCGCATCCACAAGGGGAGCTGGTTTTTAAACTGGCTCCCTTCACTGGACCAGCTCCCATTTGGCACCCCGTGTTGCTGTCTGATACAGTGGCAGCAGCGCAGAGTGGCAGGGGTCTCCTTGGGAGTGAGGTCGGAGCACACTGGCTGTCGGCCTCGCCCTCAGGGACTATAGAATAGTTGACTAACCAATAAGAATTCATGAAGTTACTCGACTATTCTATTACCATCCCTAGTTCTCACACCTATTTATTTTTCTTTTTTAAAATAAAGTCCGAACCCGTGGACTTGATGGACAGCCTTGTCTCTAATTTAGGCTCAGCTGAGGCTCAAGCTTTTAGCATCTATGCCTCAGGAATATGCTACCCAACAGAAGGCTGAGTCAGTTTTAGTTTCTAAATCAAGAGTTGAAGTGTTTGGTATCTCTTTTTAATTGTGCAGAAATGCAAAGGGCTTTGGGCATTATGTGATTAGAGTTACTTGATTGTAACATGAAGTAGCACTACACTAACACCATGCTTGTGCTTATCAATGAAACCAAGACTATACAGTGCTTAGGACAGGGGTGAGCAAAAGCCTCTCAATGAAGTGGATACCGGCCCGCCTAGGGCTTTGATCCGGCCCACGAGGCAGTTCCAGGCTCTGCCCCCTAGCACAACCTACACACTCGTGCCATGCAAGCCGATTTTCAGCAGCATGCGTGAGAGAGTTCACTCCCGTCCCGCCTCCTCAGTGCAGCTGCTGGAGAGCGCTCCCTCCTCCCTGCAGCAGATTAGGATGTGGTAAGAGGAGGGAGTGCTGGGGCTCCGGAAGCTGGAGGTACTTCTGCTACAGCCATGCAAGTCCAGGGCTATGTGGCTGTGGCAGCGGCACTTCCGGCCTCCAGGACCAGTCCTAGACCACAAGGGCTGCAGCCTCAGGGCCGGTCCCAGAACACAGTGGCAGCAGAGCCTCAAGGGCGGCCCTGGACTGTGTCAACAGCGGCAGCTGGGCCTCCGGGGCTGGGCCAGGACAGCGTGGCTGCAGATGTTGCTGCAAGGGGGCATGAAGCCAATTAAGGTCCTCCCTCATACCCAGACCCCCACACTCCAATCCCCTCACTTCCCTCCTCCCGAACCTGGCACCCCCAGCTTGTTCTGACACTCTACCTTGTTTCTGCAATCTCTCTCCTGGCCAGACACCAATGCCCTGCTCCTTCATCCATGATACTCCTGCACCCTCCCTCCTGGACACATGCTGCACCCTCCCTTGCTCCTGTTCCCTCCACCTGGCCAGACACCTTATTCCCAGCCTACTTCTGCACCCCACCTCCCTCCCAAATCCTGCACCCCATCCCTATCCTACTTGCTGGCAGTCCTGTCTCGTGCACTGTGCCCCTCATTTTGTCCCCACCCCAGAATCTAAGGAGGTCCATAAAATCCACTAACTCCAAAACCCCAGAAAAGTAAATCTGGCCTATGGGAAGCCCTGAACCTCTGTCTACCCCCTTCCCTTTCCCTCACCCCATGAGGCTGGGGCACCAGAGGAGTGAGGTGTCTGAGTTGGAGCCACAGCAGTGAGCATTGGTGGTTTCTGGAGGAGTTTTTTTGCTTTTCACTTGTGTGTTGTTTTTTTCTTCTCACTTGGAGGGGAACCCTTTTTGGCCTGGGGGGTCACTTACCCACAGAAAAAAAAAAGATTTTTCTGTGGGTCAGTGACCCCCAGGCCAAAAAGGGTTCCCCACTCCTGCCATAAAGAAAGAAAACACTGAAACCTTTTGTATTGTATATAATATTTTATTTTATTTAAAATGAAGTTTGATAAACTAACATGAGAAAGTTAAAATGCTTACTCTGTTTCATAATTTAAATTAAATTGTTCTCCCTAGCTGCAGCTAGTTCAGAAAATAAGGCATCCCCACTTCCTTTGCCCGGCACACAGATCTGTGAATATGTTAAATCTCAGTACGCCACTTCAGAAAGGTTGCCGACCCCTGCACTAAAAGGTAGATCTGTATCTTAATTTATTTATTAATGAAGCTGCTGTAAGTAGGACTGCTGTTGACTTTAAAAGGTATCACCGGCACTCAGACCCATACATAGAGGTGAATAAGTCAAATCTCAACACTCCACCTCTGAAAGGTTGCTGACCCCCTGCCCTATCGCATTGCCTGGGAGCTGGAGACACGTGAGAAGGGCTCGCACTTGCTGGGTGTTTGCATAGCCTGGCAGCCCCCCGGCAGGCACAAGCCCTTTAAACAGAAGCAACTGAAAGGGCTCACAGCTCTCGGTCCCACTGGCCTGGGAGCTGCTCTGGAGGTGGGAGCCCTTTCATCTGCTTCTGTTCAAAGGGCTTGTGCTGCCAGGCAGCTGCCAGGCAATAGGTTAGCAGGGGGGCCAGTAGCTGCCAGCTGTGTTACGTGAATTCTAAGCCTGTGACCCAGACAACTCTAGGAGGAGGCTAGCCCCCAGCACCCTCCCCTCTGCTCCAGGTCCCTTCCATTGGCCAGAAGTCAGGGGGCAGGGACCCCAGGCCAAACAAAGCTCCCGGCAGGGTAGTTCTCAACCCCGCCCCTTCCACCCAAGGCCTCACTCCTTCCAAAATTTGTGAAGAGGCCCCCCTTCAAAAATTATTGTCCACCCCTGGCTTAAAAGAATGGGGCTGAATCTTGATTCTTGCTGAATCTCTAAGAACTACCATAATAAATACAATTTGCCCCAAGGATGACTATGTCTCAATGCGTTTTTCAGCATTTTAATACATTTAAATAATCAAACAAAACCATTGGTGGAGATAAGTGTTCTACAGATTGTACCTCCAAAATCCAGCACTATCTGATCCGGGAACATCCCGTGGTCTGGCCTGACCACGGCTGCTCCTGGATCAGAGAGCCCGGGAGCTTAGGGCAGCTGGCATCAGAGTCGGCAGCCTGGCTGGGAGCAGCGCAGGACTGGGGCCGGAGCCCTCCAGCAGCCCCCGAGATCGTGGGGCCGGGATGGGGCTTTGAGGGTCCAAGGCCAGATCCCCACAGCTTCCCCTGGCTGCACAGGGCCGGGGCTGTGGTTGTGTGGAGCCAGGGATGGAGCCCCACGGCTTTCCCCAGCTGCATGGGGCTGGGGCTAGGGCTGGGGCTGCGCGGGGCCCCAGCCCCACAGCTGCTCCCTGCTGCACAGGAACGGAGCCTCAAGGCAAGAGCTGGAGCCTGTGCCACCCA